CTATTTATATGTTGTGGAACAATATTTAATTACGGAAATCTTGAAATAGTGAAACATGTAAGGCTTATAAGTCATGAATAGATACCCAAAAAAAGAAAGGAATTTGTGGGTGAGGAGGACACACTACTTGAGCTGATTTGGTTACTAACTAAAAAAGAATCACAATTGACAGGTAAAGATGTTTCTTACTGAAGATTGCCCAGCAAAAGTTGCATCTCAATCATCAAGAAATCCAAAGGCATCGAATTTGAATCTTCCACCTGGATTTGAAGCAACTCAGTATGCAATGAAGAGGCCAAACATCTCACACATTCCCCGGATCAAATGGAAACGCCCACCAAAGGTTCTTGAATTGCAAACAATAGTACAATATATATGTGATAATGTTTTAATCTCTTTATTTGCCAAAAAAACAGTATATTCTGAATGACGCTCTGCTTGTTGCAAGTGGTGAAGAGAGCACAGAAACTCGTGTTGAGAATTTGAGGATTTCTAAAGTCTTTGAAGCTTTCTATCCACATCGCTCTGTCATCCCTACTAGGTAATTTTGCATTGATCTCCCTATAAGCTGCTTGCTTTGTATCATGTTTTACTTAACCACATTCTCTCTGTTTTCCTTGTAGTCCTTCGGTTTCACAGGCTGTAGAAGATGAAAGCTATGACGACAACAAAACTCCTAACATCCGTCTCACTCCCGTTGAGGACGAGCTTGAGGCTGCTTTAGAATCTTCCCACTGCAACAACTCCGAAGCTCCTGCAGCTATTTCTGGTCTTGGACCAGATTTGAGCATGGTTGTTTCCGCTGCGTTGATGAAAGCCAAGGAACATGGGAGTCTGGTCGATGCTGATTTACTTGTCAAACTTCTTAGTGACCCCATTATCATCAAGAACCTGATGAATGAAATGGCAGGTAAACCACTCGAAACTGAAAATAGCACTCTAAACACTAACATCACCGTACCTAGAGTTGCTCCTCAACATGTCACTTCCTCAGCCATGGATAGAAACTCACCTCCGAATCGTGTAACCCAGCCTGGAAATGGTGTATCACATACTGCACCTGTTTCGGTCCAGCCCTCTGTTTCTGTGGCTACAGATCAGCCACTCTCCAAACCCACTCAGCCCGTGTCCAGTGCTCTATCGATGAGCCTTAACCTCCAGAAACCTCCCCAGGTTTGTCGCACATATCCGTTAACTTCCGGGATCAAACCATTGCCAAGACTTCAAGATTCTTACTCAACCGGTCCCTTGAAACCAAGCACAGTTGATGCTGTTGTCGTCTCACAACCAAAAACAGCACCAAAACCTCAATCCCAGTCCCTTGACATTTCCACTTCCAGCACTTGGAATACAAATAAGGTATCGGAACCAGGGCAAACTGGAACAAATCCTCAAATCAGTAATGGTGCTTACTCGATGAACATAAACCGTGCTGATCAGGTCTCTGCAAAACCCCCCGTGAAAAATCTAGACTATTTCAAGAGCCTCATTAGGGAACACGGGAGAGTTGCTCAGGCAACAAATGACAGTAACAATTACAAAGGAAGGGTTG